GTGCCAGCGACTCCAACCCAGTCCTCTAATCTCTGTAAGAGGATCTCATGGTCGACGGGTGCGTACCGATGTTCCCCGGGTCCGATGTTCCCCCACTTCTATAGGCGGGGGAACATCGGACCCGGGGAACATCGGTACTTTGCGTATTAAAAAGTCCCGATGTTCCCCGGGTCCGATGTTCCCCCGCCAATAGAAGTGGGGGAACATCGGGACTTCAACAACGAGACTAGTCCCGCTGTTCCCCGCGTGCGCCCTTTGATGTTTGATGTTTCCTCCTCCACGAAAGATGGCATATGATCCGCGCCAACTTTTGTGAGAGAGAAAATACTAACTAGCCTAAGCCTATTTACTTTTCTTTTTCCCTCTCGCTCTTTGTGTGCTCATATTTCAGCTGATCGCAGCTTGAGTCTATGCAGGATATTTTTGGGCATGTTATGGGCATGTTATCTCCCCTTGCTCGCCCATGGGCATCTATATTTGACAAGTCTGACTGAATAAAATGAGGACGATTGAAACTAGAGCTACTACATCTGTTAGCCTATAGTTTTTCCAAATACGTGGTTTTGCTGAGGGCACTGTGCTTTTACGCATAATGGACACGCATATGACGTCGTTTTTGTTGTAAAACTTGAATATGCTCTTTTAGTTTTAGAGATATTAATACATATTATTCTATTCAGAATGCGTGCGTCATTGTGCATTGTTGTCCCGCCTTACGTGTCACTCACAGTTAAAATGTAAATAACCAATTCAAACATAACATTTTTACAACTTGAACATTAAGAAAAAAATGATCAAAGGAATCAGTGTAAAATAAGATCCGAAAAGCTCAATTCATGATTGTTTAATTAGGTTTCCCATTTTTAAATACAATTGGAAACGCTCAGAATTCAAAAATATTGAAAAGTTTATTGGCTCCTACAGTGGGGGGAATAATAATAATAATAATTATAATAATAATATAACCCTCTGAGCATCATCACGTTCCTAGTTGCTTCAAATATAGTCCTGTTTATTGGCTGAACAATTTTGTCCAATATCATATCACACAGCGTGAAGCGAGAACAACCAGCTATTCCTCGTCTTAAAGATTGACAACGCTCTCAAAGCATTCACAACAGAGCAGCCTTTTTCATTTTAATTTTAAGAAAGTTCAGCGTGAACTTTGTGAGGTAGAGTAGCCAGAGGCCCGGGCCCGTAGGTCCCAGAGGAGGAGAGCGCGGTCAGGCCAGGCTCGCCTCGCACTGATGAGGTAAACTCTAGGCCTGTGTGAGACACACTGTGGGCCTCATGTATGAAACCTGCGTACGGCCAAATCAGGGTAAATGAGGCGTACGCAAAATATTACACTTTTCCGCATTTATCTATCTGGACGTGAGCGTACAATACGCAAAAAATATACGCCAGGTCTGGAGGTGGTGTAAATCTATACGCTGAACTCAACCTTCGGCAAAACACGCATGAAATTCAAGATATGGACAACAATAAACATATTCCCTCTGGCAAAATTATATGCTGTGTTTTCATTGAGGATCATGTTTCAAAATTTTAATTTGCGCATCAGAAAAAGTCTAATGGAAACACGCAAACTTCAAATAAATCACAGCTCATGATGAGAACCTTCTATTAAATCTGACTTGTGTGTGTATTATTTTGATCTGTATGTTTTTAAAATGTGAAGCGCTTTGTGATCCTGGACAGTCAAAGGCTCTATATAAATACACTTTACGCAACAGGGATGTGTGACCCATCTATTGCTGTGGCAGGCTCTGCGCTGCGTAATTACGCACGGCTATTTGTATTCCTCATTCAAATCTGGTAAAGCAATGTGTTATTTCATTAGATTTGTGTAAGCCTCACACAGACACACACCCCAATAACGCATCGATGGTATCGCTCACTCACAAATGTCTCACTGCCCTGTCCAGAGTGCGCAGCGAGTGCCGTGCACGAGGTCGCGCCACATGTGCAGAAGTTTTGGCTCCAGAGTTTCTTTGTGAAATCTGGACCACAAACGCTCTCTGAAGTGTACAGCGCCTCAATGCGCACTTCTACCCCGAGCCAGGCTGCGTCCAAGACGCTGCAGACGCTTCATTCAGAGCCACCGCTGCATAATATATATGAATTGTTCATTCATTCAATCAATCAATCAAACATTTTGGCAAATTTGTTCAAAACGCAGCTGAATATATAGCGCATATTTATTATTACATAAACATGAACAAACAAACGTGCCTTTTGAGGCTTCCAAACAGTCTTTTTGGCCGGCTTCCTGCTGACCTGTCACGAAGACGTGGTGTGAAACACGCGATTGCTGCATAATTCTAGGCGTGACTAAATACGTTCGTATTCAGGCGATTTATCAACACCCGCAGCTGCGTACGCTCAGAACTAGGCGGATCTCACATGTTCATAAATCCGACGTTGGATTTTGCGTAAATGGAATATACACCCAAAATGTACTTTTTCTACGCAAGTTTCATAAATGAGCTTGTGTGTATGTGCGCGTGTGAGTGCGTGTGCGTGCGTGTGTGCGTTTGAACCATATTCTTTGAAACCCCAATTCCAGTTAGCCCTTGTAGTTTGCAAGCGAATTTGGCCTACTTACTAATCTGCAGGCCTACCCAAAATTGCAAACCTGGCGCCGATACTGTTGCGAGGATGAACGGAGGGAGATATGTTTCCAAAAAGAAAAGGTGGTGGAGCTAATTTTACTTTTCTTATCTGCAACACGTTCTTATTCTGAGGTGGTAGGTTGGAAAAAAATGTACTTGGCTACTACAATGCGAGATCTACAAGGCTTATAATATAAAGTATTCAGTAGCCCTATAGACTAGTTATGAGCGAAAGCCGCTTGTTGCTCCATTATCCGCGCGCAGCAATAACATGTCTATGAGCGAGGCTCGCAGTCGGGGAACACCGGGCCCTCCGGCGTTTGGAAGGTCCGATGTTCCCCGGGGAACACCGGACACGGGGAACATGGGACCCGGGGAACATGGGACCCGGGGAACATCGGACCCGGGGAACATCGGACCCGGGGAACATCGGGCCGACCCCTGGTCGACAGTGTCAAAGGCAGCACTTAGATCTAACAAGATTAAGATTGAGACTTTGCCTGCGTCAGTGTTCAGCCGGATATCGTTTGTAACCTTAACAAGAGCAGTCTCAGTGCTGTGGTGGGGTCTAAAGCCGGACTGAAACATATCAAATGAGTTGTTGATTATAAGAAATCTAGTAAGCTGTAGGTAGACAACTTTCTCAAGGACTTTCCCCATAAATGGCAGATTTGAGATGGGACGATAGTTGTTAAGTACCGTAGCATCGAGACTGCTCTTTTTTAGCAGGGGCCTGATGACTGTAGTTTTCAGGGCCTTTGGGAATATTCCAGAATCAAGGGACATGTTTACTATCTGTGTGAGTGAAGGTAACAGACTGCTCAGAACAGACTTCAGAAATCTAGTGGGTAGTACATCCAAGCTGCATGTGGAGGAGCTCAAACTGGAGATTATCTCTTGGACAGTTTTATCATTTACAGGTGCAAAGTGAGTTAGCTCAAAAAGCCTTTCTGGCTGTTGGATGGTTATCTGTGGATTGGAGACAATGGCGTTTTTGATGCCTTGAACCTTGTCATTGAAAAAATTAGCAAACTCATTGCATTTACGTTTGGAAGTAAGCTCTAATGGCATTTGAACAGGGGGGTTTGTTAATCTATTAACTGTTGAGAACAGAACACGCAGATTGTTGCTGCAGCCTTCAATCATTTCAGAAAAATACCTTTCTCTCGTACCACGTAGCACCCGATCTCGTAATCAACCTGGAGGTTGGACTTGCGCCACTTCCGCTCGGCCCTCCGGCACTTTCTTTTTTGTGCCCTGACCGAGTCTGCTTTAGCCCACGGCGCCTTCTGCTTATTTTTCACTATTTTAACCTTCACAGGGGCAACGGTATCCAGAACATTCAAAACACTAGAGGTGACAGAGTTAAACAGTTCATCTACAGTAGAATACGATGCATTCTCAAAGTTTATCATTCCCATAAATAGTTCACTCGTATTTTCATTTATGTGTCTTCTTCGTACAGTTGCAGAGTCCACTGGTGGTTTGTTAGTGAAACACATGTCAAAAAAAACACAGAAATGATCAGAAAGAGCAACATCGACCACGTTTACATTTGAAATATTCACCCCCTTAGTAACTAACAGATCTAGAGTGTGCCCTTTGCTGTGGGTGGGGCCACTTACGCGCTGAGTGAGATCAAAGGATTCAAGTACAGAACTCAGCTCATTTGCATTTCTGTCATCAACATTATCCACATGAATATTAAAATCACCTGTAATAACCAAACTATCAAAATCTGTGCATACAACTGAAAGCAACTCGGTAAAATGATCAATAAAACTGTGACATGACTGCGGTGGCTTGTATAGGACAATGAAGAGTATTGGAGGAGATTGTTTTTGTTGTATTTTAAAAGACACATATTCAAATGATGAAAACTTCCCAAGAGACATTCTATGGGAGACAAAGTGGTCTCTAAAAATGGCAGCTAAGCCTCCTCCTTTTTTGTTTTCCCGTATTTCAGATTCAAACTTGAAATTTGGTGGTGATGCTTCTATTAAAACTGCATTTCCTGAATTTTGGTCAAGCCAAGTTTCAGCCATGAACATAAGATCAAGATTATGAGAACAAATAAAATTATTGATTAAAAAAGACTTGTGATGGGTCGGTTTTGAAAAGAGACTGTGTTGTTGTGTGTACATAGCTTTAGAAAAGAGGTTTGTGTTTAGAGTTTTGAGAAAAGGGAGGGCAGTATTGTGAAATGTGTTTAAGCAATAGAGAAAAACTGTAGATGAAAATGATCTCAGAACAACAATACTATCGCCTATCGCAATAAATTCTGAGACAATTAATCGTCCAGCAAAATGTTTAATCGTGACAGGCCTGTAGCCCTGAAACTACAACTCAGCAATTAAAGCTGGGGTACCTAAATTTCCCTTGCATTCATAATACATGTTGCTCCTCTCCCTCCTTGACCTGCTCCTCTCCCTTTTTGACCTGCTCCTCTCCCTCCTTGACCTGCTCCTCTCCCTCCTTTGCCTGCTCCTCTCCCTCTTTGACCTGCTCCTCTCCCTCTTTGACCTGCTCCTCTCCCTCTTTGACCTGCTCCTCTCCCTCCTTGGCCTGCTCCTCTCCCTCTTTGACCTGCTCCTCTCCCTCCTTGGTCTGCTCCTCTCCCTCTTTGACCTGCTCCTCTCCCTCCTTGGTCTGCTCCTCTCCCTCTTTGACCTGCTCCTCTCCCTCCTTGGCCTGCTCCTCTCCCTCCTTGGTCTGCTCCTCTCCCTCTTTGACCTGCTCCTCTCCCTCTTTGACCTGCTCCTCTCCCTCCTTGACCTGCTCCTCTCCCTCCTTGACCTGCTCCTCTCCCTCCACTGACACAAACTCCTCTTCTTCTGCCTTGATCATCCATTTTTGTTTGGAACCTGCACTGACTTATAAAGTTGTGGTCACATCATTTGCAACAGGAGTTTTCAGTTCTGAGTGGTTGTGTTTTCTGAATGACACCAGGTCTGTTCATTGTGTTCAGGTTTTGCTCACTGTGGGAGGCATTTTGCATCACATGAGCTTCACAGTGCAAATTGGAGCAGAGATACATGCAAAAAGTGTTTTAGTAAAGGCAAAATATGTTTAGAGTTTTGAGAAAAAGGGGATGGGTTTTGTGAACAGTGTCTACAGGAGAATTGTGTTTATGGTTATGAAAAGTGGGGGGTAGTTTTAATAAATGTGTTTAGGCAATTGGTCATTTGGTTTAGAGTACTGCTTTTGTGTTGTAGCAATAGAGAAAAACTGTATTACCGTTGAAACGTGTCAAGGTAATAACATCGCTAACCTACTATTGTCTGGTTTAGAATCACCCAATACTTGTAATTCTACTCAGAAGACAAGATGAATTTTCCTAAACTATTTTGAGGATGTCTTTGTAAATCCGTATACTGTATGTACTCTTACATATATTGGCTCTTTGGTTGGTAGGTTGTAGCTAATCAGTGTATTTCAAAAGGCTTCTTTGCATTCACTTCAATACAATTCCATTTATATTTATGTTTCTTTTTTTTATATAGCATTAGTTTCCGAGAACTTTACAAATTTGTCGATTCACCGGCAACAGATCAAAGAATCAAAGAAGTTTTAACACAGATAATGCAATAAATACAAGAGAGAGGCTCAGCTCCCACAGGCTATAGATCCAGGACTCAGGCTGTACAACGAGGACTGAGGCTATTTCCCCCTGCTATTTCCTAAGCATAGGTTTCCTCCAAGGGCTCGGTTTTCCCAAACTTCTGAAAACCTGTCAAATAGGTATCATTATGACTGAACGGTCACAACAATGCTAGGGAAAGTATAGGAAGGAGTATAGTAGAGCCAATAAATGAAAAAAAAAACAACTACTCAATCAAAACTATCATACATTGAACAGTGGTTTCTCTTGATCTATGATATAGCCAATGATATAGCCAATGGCTATATCAGGTTTTTCTTTTCTTTTTTTTTCTTTTTGTACATCCACAAGACAACTTATTTTTCTATTCGAAGCCCCACAAGCATGTTTATGATTTGAGTCACACGGTTCCTGGCTAAGGTCTAATCAAGTTAATCAGAATCAGAACCAGAGTTATTTCTATTGCCATTGTTAGTAACAAGAAGTCACAAACATATAAATTGCTTCGGCTCTCAGTGCATACAAGTTAAAAAGTAAAAATAGAATAAGGCATGCGTAAAAAGAAAACATCAACATAACAATTACTAAAGTTACTGCTATGTCCAAGTGCTTTGGATATTGTCAGGACATTGTCTGCACTAATGCTGTTGTACCTGCTGATCAGAATTGAGAAAAAAAAACCCTTCAGAGTCATACGTTTTGCCTCCATAACTGCATAAAAGACAGGAGTGAAGAGGAGAGAAGGAGAGAGGAGAGGGGACACCAGGGAGAGGAGATGTGATAAAAGAAGGAGGCAGCGCACTCACAGCAGGCTTCAGTTTGAGCTGATCAAATATTTATATCATTATAATGTACAGAGATACATCTGAGAACAGAGCTGCTCCCGGTGCTCCTCACAACACTTGTATCTTATTATGTGCCGTTCACATCTTCACTGCATCACCCGAGGTATGTTTGTATAAAACATGGAATCGTCTCTATGTTTTCTTGCTGTAACGTATTAAATGAAGCACAAAAACAAATATATAATTGAAATGTTTCTTGTGTTATTTAAATCAAAAGGGACCTCCGGCAAGATAGCAGAGAATCGCGGAAATATTTATATACAAAAGTTTATATCATTTGTGTGCATAATGAGGACTTGTTTGTGTGATGAAAGGGAAGTTGTTTGGAGATTTCCTCGGGACACAAAGTAAAGTAGAGGCTGTTGTGTGGAGGTAATGGGACAGTGGAGGTTACAGGGCGTGTATGAGCAGAGGTTGGTCTACTGTCCTCTTACAGCTGCCATTTCATAGAGAATTGTTGGTTCTTACGGTTTGCGTTCAAATTACCACTTGTTGCTTCCTGTTTCTTTTGCCCGCACAGAACTGGGGAAAAAGGCTTTAGGGATAAGGTTATGTGTTGCAAAAAAAAATATATATGTGTATCTGTTTTTAGAATCTGAAATTTTATCTCATTGTGTGTAACTTTGTAAAAGGAGAGAGTGCATTCATATGGATGGTATAGGCTTATGTAAGAAGATTGAGTATAGCTTTTTAGTCTGTAGATTGTAATTACAAATGTTCATTGATATACAATTTTGTTCTCCATCCATTTTCTTCCCCTTAGTCAGAGCTGCACTTTTGTTCTCTCTCAATTAAATAAATTAAACATAGCTTTGTATAGTCCCAGACTGAGCTTAACTGATATCATGGAGCCAATATCTGATCTAAATGTAACGTTTTTACCTTGGACTTTAAAACAGTGGGGGGGGTAACAGTGGCCTGAGCCTGAAGGTTGTGGGTTCTTAGTCGCCGTTGTGTCCTTGGGCAAGACACTTTATGTCTGGGAACACCAGATGTCACATTGGGGCGGCTGCGACTTCACCCCCATTGCCTAGTTTGAGTCTGGTATGTGTGTGTGAATGGTTGGTGGTGGTCGGAGGGCCTGATGGCACAGACTGGTTGCCTCACTTCTGTCAGTGTGTCCCAGGGCAGCTGTGGCTACAGTAGTAGTTAATCACCACTGTGTTTGGAGTGAAAGAATATTGACATGTAAAGCGTCTTTGAGTGTCCAAAAAAGCGCTATCTAAAATGGATGCATTATTATTATTTGATTTTCCATCCTTAAATAATAATAATTTTTTTGCATTTCTTGCATCTTGAGTCCAACGACAAAACTTTCCATCAACGAACCTAAAACACTGGTCTGTGATAACGTACTGTTGTCAAAATGAACTGAACCTTTAACTCTCTCTAGATATTCAGCAGAGAACGATCTTCTCTGAAAAAGTTGGACGCAGCAAAACTATAACTGTGTCAGAAAAAAAGTACATTTAGTTCAACATCTTCCTGCACAGTATTTTGGCTGCAGGCCCAGATTTCTTCCCTTCTATAAAACCAAATCATGGCTAGGTATCTTGTCTGTGTTCTTGGAGGTTTGCATCAGTTTGTCATGTACAGTATACAGTGCCTTGCGAAAGTATTTGGCCCCCTTGAACCTTTCAACATTTCAGGCTTCAAATTTAAATTTTTTGTCATGAATCAACAACAAGTGGGACACAATCGTGAAGTGGAACAAAATGTATTTGATCATTTCAACTTTTTTAACAAATAAAAAACTGAAAAGTGGGGCGTGCAATATTATTCGGCCCCTTTACTTTCAGTGCAGCAAACTCACTCCAGAAGGTCAGTGAGGATCTTTGAATGATCCAATGTTGTCCTAAATGACTGATGATGATAAATAGAATGTACCTGTGTGTAATCAAGTCTCCGTATAAATGCACCTGCTCTTTGAGTTCAGGGTTCTGTTTAAAGCGCAGAGAGAACCATGAAGACAAAGGAACACACCAGGCAGGTCCGAGATACTGTTGTGGAGAAGTTTAAAGCCGGATTTGGATACAAAAAGATTTCCCAAGCTTTAAACATCTCAAGGAGCACTGTGCAAGCAATTATATTGAAATGGAAGGAGTATCAGACCACTGCAAATCTACCAAGACCCGGCCGTCCCTCCAAACTTTCATCTCAAATAAGGAGAAGACTGATCAGAAATGCAGTCAAGAGGCCCATGATCACTCTGGATGAACTGCAGATAACTACAGCTGAGGTGGGAGAGTCTGTCCATAGGACAACAATCAGTCGTGCACTGCACAAATCTGGCCTTTATGGAAGAGTGGCAAGAAGAAAGCCATTTCTCAAGGATATCCATAAAAAGTCTCGTTTAAAGTTTGCCACAAGCCACCTGGGAGACACACCAAACATGTGGAAGAAGGTGCTCTGGTCAGATGAAACCAAAATCGAACTTTTTGGCCACAATGCAAAACGATATATTTGGCGTAAAAGCAACACAGCTCATCACCCTGAACACACCATCCCCACTGTCAAACATGGTGGTGGCAGCATCATGGTTTGGGCCTGCTTTTCTTCAGCAGGGACAGGGAAGATGGCAAAAATTGATGGGAAGATGGATGGAGCCAAATACAGGACCATTCTGGAAGAAAACCTGTTGGAGTCTGCAAAAGACCTGAGACTGGGACAGAGATTTATCTTCCAACAGGGCAATGATCCAAATATATACATAAAGCCAAATCTACAATGGAATGGTTCACAAATAGACGTATCCAGGTGTTAGAATGGCCAAGTCAAAGTCCAGATCTGAATCCAATCGAGAATCTGTGGAAAGAGCTGAAGACTGCTGTTCACAAACGCTCTCCATCCAACCTCACTGAGCTCGAGCTGTTTTGCAAGGAAGAATGGGAAAGAATTCCAGTCTCTCGATGTGCAAAACTGATAGAGACATACACCGAGCGACTTGCAGCTGTAATTGCAGCAAAAGGTGGCGCTACAAAGTATTAGTGCAAGGGGGCCGAATAATATTGCACGCCCCACTTTTCAGTTTTTTATTTGTCAAAAAAGTTTAAATAATACAAATAATTTTGTTCACTTCACGATTGTGTCCCACTTGTTGTTGATTCTTGACAAATACTTTTGCAAGGCACTGTATATGGGCAGTGCATTTAGAGCCATGTTGTAGTCACTTTCAGATCTGGAGCTGATTGGCTGAGGGCGGTTTTGCTCTCGGGGCAGTGGGCCGAGCATAAAGCCTTCTGCCGCCTTTCATCCTCTCGCCAATGGAGAAAAATTGAAGTGCTCTCAGTCACAACAAAGCGTTTTAACAAAGGCCTTTTCATTTCAAGGTGAAATTGGTTCAGCATTTAGAACAGAAGAAAGGTTTTTGCTGCTACTGCTGCTGCCGGCGATGCACTATG